GCCTGGCCCAGTCAGGGACTTCCAGGCTGTGCCCCAAAAAGCTCTGAGGAGGCGGCAGTTAGTGAGCAGGGGGAGGAAGCCCCAGCTGGGGCGTGCTGGGTGCCGATCGTAGTAAAGCTGCACTTGTGTGTGTCAGACAGAGCGTGCACCTTGCAGAAGCCCGGATGCCTGTGACAAGCCCACCTCTGATCCTGCCATGCCCTTGCTCAGCCCAGAGACTAGCACACGGGGCACCGCCCATTTTGCCACTGAAGCCCTCACTGCCCACCTCGCCCCACAGAACGGAAGCCCCAGGAAGGCCTTTAGTTTGCCACTTCATTCTGGTGTGTGGAGGTGCTCACTCACTGAGCATATGTAGAATTTTGGCCTCGCAGCCAATCCATGGCAGCGCTATTGTTGCTCTCACTTTGCAGGTGGGAAATGGGGTTTCCAAGAGAGTCTGTGGTTTGTTCAAGGTCATGCAAAGCCAGAGCGGTGGAGCCAGGGTGCATGCGACTCAGCCCAGCTGGACTCCAGAGCCTCGTGTCTAGCCAAGTTCCCAGGAAAGGGGGGTATCTGAGGAACAGGAATCCAGACAGCCAGGCCCGAGAGGGTGGGTCCCCTAGAGGGAGGTTGTGGGCAAAGGCAGCGTCATCTGCCCAGGCCTGCACTGAAGGGCCAGAGTTGGATGGGTGGGGGTCTTGTCCAGCTGCCCTGTAGACCTCTCTGTTCTCTTCCTAACGCTCACACTGGGCTTCTTTCAGTTCCCTTTGGGTGACACAGCTTCCCCCCACCGCACGCTCATGCACACACACACACACATACACACACACTCACTCTAGCTTCCACCGGAACCAGGCCTCCCACCACAACCTCCAACTGATGCCCCAGCCAGAGAAAGTTGAGGCGGGGGCCACCTCACCCCTGGGAGTGAGGGACCTGGACACACATCTCTGTGGAGGCTCCTGGGGCAATGGAGGCCACATCTCCCTTCCCCCTGTGCCCCTGGGGTCGGTGTATAGCCTCACTTCCCCTTTGCTGTGCTTCACCAGAAGGCAGCATCCGGAGGCAAAGGGACCACTCACTGTGGAAGATCCTGAGTGGTGCTCTCTGCCCTGCCCCCCCCCCCCATGCCATGCCTCTGGCCCAGAGTGGTTCTTGGCTTGAGTCCCCCTGGTCCTGGCAAGTAAGCCCCAAGCCGAGCAAAGCCCCTGAACAGCCTGCATCCCTGGAGCCTCACCAGAGCTGTGAGCGCAGTCATATCCCCCACCCCCCAAAGATAAACAATAGGCTTACAGGACCTGCTGAAGGTCACTTAGCTTGTACCCAACAGAGCTGGACGGAAGCTCAAGTGCGGTGCCCCTCCCCTACACGTGGCCCACACGTGGCCCCCGCGTGGCTCTTGGTGAAGTGCGGAGTCTCTAGGGATGTGGATCTCCCCAGAACAAGGGGGAAGGTGTGGGGAGCAGAGTGCAGAATCCTGGTCTTGGTCCTCAAGCCTGTAGGCAGGGGGCATTTGACCATAAAAGGAGGCTCTTCCCGACTATGGCTCCAGCTCCATGGGCGAGTCCGACAGACGCTGTTTTCTATGAAGTGTTACTGGCCTCCAGTGCACACTGCTCTCATTTTGTGGGTGACCACTTTCAACGAAATAGCAGTTCCATTTTTAAAGAAAAAATACAAAACAATCTACCTACCCACTTTTGCTCCAACCATGTGTTAAATTTGCAAATACATGAAAGAGTGAAATACTCAGCAGATACAAATAGTAAAGTGCAATTACATTTCATTTTATATTAGGGCTACAAGGAGTGGGGGATACAGAGGGCGACAGAGAAGAGAAGAAAGAAAAAGGGCCCCGGAACAAGTGATGTTACAGTTCACGGGGAAAGACCAACGACCCAGGTTTTCCTCGAGGGAAGGAGAGGATCGAAGTACTGATTCATCAGCTAATATTCTATTTGTTAAAAACACAGGCGCTAAACTTTCACGGGCAAATAGTACTTTCTGGAACTTAACGTATTTTATTTGCTATCTAAAATTTAGTCCTTTAACTTGAAAATGTTCTTCTTTAAAACATATATTTTTTTAATGAACGATGACTGTAGAAAACCGTGGGAACGGGAGCGGTTCCTGCGGAAGCTGGTCGCAGGGAAACCAGACGTTCGAGCCATAAATGACACCGGGGGACCAGCCTGGGGGCCTGGGAGCCCGCCCAGGAGGGGACGCCTTGCAGGGCAGGTGGTGCCGTTGCCAGACTCGAAGCGAAGGACTTCGCCGGAGAAGGGACGGGCCGCGGGCCAGGCCCGTTCGTGGAGCCGGAAAGTATCAGAAAGGCAGGCGGACGGTCCCAGTCGACGTGAGTGAACCCCGCGCGGCCCTAGGGGCCCGGGAAGGGGGGGGGGCCGGGGCGGGCAGGTGGGGGCGGAGCAGCCCGGGGACCCGTCCGACGGCACCGGCGGGAGCGTCGGACCGGTGTCCCCGCCTGGGGCTGGGGCGACCCTGGGAAGAGGCGCAGGCGCGGAGCGCGAGGGCCAGGGACTCCCTCCGCGTCGCCCCGCGCACCCCCTCGAGGCCGCGCCGGGGCGTCTCCGGGGGCACCGGGCGGAGGAGGGGCCGGCGGCGCGGCGGGCGGGGCGGGGCGGGCGCGGCGGAAGTGCCGGGCGGCGGCGGAGGGAGCGCGCAGTCGGCACCGCCGCCCGGCTGGTGCTCCCGGCGCAGCCGCTGACAGGTGGGTCCGGGCCGCCGGGCGCTGCTCCCCGCGCTCGCAGGGCACCTGCCGGGGCGGGAGGGGACCGGAGCGGGTCGCGGGAGGGTTCATGTCCGGCCCGCGTCTCCCGCGCCCGGGCAGCACGGGGAGCCCGGCGGTCTTCGCCCCGCGGCGGAGTCGGCGCCGCCCTCCCGCCTTCTCCCTCCGTCTCGCTCCGCCGCGGATGGATGGGGAGCCCGCGGCCGTGACCGTGGAGGGGCGAGGCCCGACCCCCCTTTTTGGGCGCCCCCGGGTGCCCCGCACCCTTTCGCGTTAGAGGGTGCGGTTTAAAGGGTCCGCCCTCCGACCGCGGGGCTGACGGCCAGGCCCGGGCGCGGGGTGTGTGGCGGACGGTGTCGGGCAGAGGCGCCGAGAGGGGACGCCGACCCTCCTCGCGGAGGCGACCGCTGCAGCCCTCCTTGGACTACTTTCTGTGCTTCCTTCCCTCGGACTCGATCACGAGACTGTTCAGATTCTAAGTGGAGGGAAGAGACCAGTGTGGCAGTGAAACCGTTCAGGAGACGGCGAATACCTGCGCCTGCTCCCCGCACCGTGGCCTCCGGGACCCCGGGGCCGGCGGGACCAGGACGCGCGGGGCGGGGAAGGGGACGGGTAGCCCCCCTCCGAGGCACAGTCTGAGAGGCAGACCCCGAGCCGGCTCCCCAGGGGCCGAACCTGCGCGGGCGGCCCGAGCGCGGGGTCTGGCCTGGACTCCGGCGCGCCCTGGGTGGGGATAGATGACCAGGGGCAGCAAGGGAGGCGGCGTGCGGGGCCGATGGAGGAAGCCGGAGGTCCTTCGGAGGGGGCAGTGGGGCCAGAAGCTGAGTGCCCGACTTCCCCCGAACTACTGGCCCGGGGCGCTGAGGCTTCCAGCAAGTCTAAGGAGGCGCTGGGAAAACACCCTTCCTTATATAGAGTCCCAACTTTGGGGTTTCCCCCTGCACTTCGGCCTTCCCCCACCTCCTTCCCCTGGAAGGAGGCCGAGAGAAGCTTCCTCCTGCTGCATTTGCTGCAGTCGCTTCTCTGAGTCTGGTCAACTCACCTGTAGGAGGACAGGACTTAGGGTCTCACTGGTGCAGGGACGGCCTCCCCGCGCCCTTCTCCCCTCACCTCTCCCTGAGCTTGGGCCAGGATTTGCAAAGACAATGTGGAGGTGGCAAGGGGCTGCTGCTCAGCCTTCCAGGCGCCTCTGGTCGCTGCCTGCTGGGCCTTCAGGGCCCTGGTGTGTGTCGTGGGGCCTCCCTCAGCCCAGTGGGCTCCTGGCTGCCCAGCTAGATGCTCCATTTTCTGGGGCTCCCTCAGGTCTTCAGCAGCCCACAGGTCTTGTGGCGTTTCCTTGGAGCTGATGCAGGCACTGCTGCCTTTCCTCACTTGGCAGAGCTCAGATGCCCAAGCCTAGGTCTGGGTGAGGCCGCAGAAATTTCACTCCTGGGAAGGCAGACGCTGCCCTCTGAGGGAAAGTCAGGGCTTCCTCCCAGAAGCCGGGAGGACTTTCTGACGGCTGCTCCGCAGCTCCTGGGCTCCCGGGGAAATGTGAGCAACTGCTTCCATCTGCAGGGGAAGTATGGATGGAGCACAGAGACACAAACCCAGAACTGCTGGCACTGGGACAGTGTGAATGAGATCTAAGCCTGCCTCCCCACAGGAGGAAGCCTCTCTGGGAGGCTGACACTGAGCCTGGTCCTGGCGCACCTGGCTGCGGGCAGGATTCCCTGAGGCTGGAGACCCTTCTGCCCCTTGCCAGGCAGGGCCTTCCTTGATCTGTTAAACTTCTTGTGGGAGACCCTTTCAATACCCCCTTCTGAGGCTGCCGGAAGGGGCTGTCCCTTTCTGACACGAGAAACTTCCAAAACTTCGTATGGAACAGCAGTGCTGGGCAGTGCTGGGCAGGGCGGAACAGAGACACACCCTGACTTCCTCCTGGCCCTTTCTGCTCTCCCAGCTGCACGACCCACGGCACAGCGGCAGGCCGGCTTTCCTCTGTCCACCTTCCCTGAGCTGGAATTGCCTGTCACTGGTGGCTCTCGCCCCGTATTCCAGGACCAAGGCCTCTGGGGGAGGCAGCCCAAGGCTGTGAACCACACTAAATGTATCTGGACCGCCAGCAGGCTTAGGGGGTAGGTAATAGGTTATGGGGTGAGAGACCGAGGATTTGGTCTGGGGGACCCAGATGACAATTTCTCTGCACGCCCATCCCTCCCCCAGCTCCCAGTGAGTCAGGTTTCCGAGTTGTCTGATCTGGCCACTTTCATTTCCCCTGGTGCTGGGTGGAGGCTGGTAGAGAAAGGGGAACTGAGCCACCCGTCTTCTGAGGCCTGGGGGCAGTGGTGGGGGCTCTCCCACCCTCCCTGGCGCAGCCTGGAGCTGGGCACTGCTCAGAGGAGAGGCCTGCACATGGGGACGCCTTAGCAGGAGGTGGCACTTAGCAGCTACAACCACAAAAAAAGGTACTGGGCAGGGCACTTCAGGGGAAACTGAGGCTCATTGGTCCAAGGCTGAAGCAGACCTAGAACAACCGAGGGGAGTCTGCTTCCCGCCCAGGCGGGGCAGCCCGGGAAGCCCACTGGGGCTTGAGTGCGCCAGGCCGCAGCCTGGCCCAGGGGTCCTGCTGTGGATTGAAATCCTTGTCCCTCTGTGTGCAGTGCTCCCTCAGATAGTAAGGGTTGCTTTCACCCCCACCCCACGGAGTGTCCACCTCACCACCCCGGATACCCCAGTGCCTTCAGCCATTCCTTCTGGGCCTGCAGCCCAGCAGACTTCCTCTTGGGTCTGGTCTCTCTCTCTCCCCGATCAGGGGAGAGTCCTGGAGAGAGCAGGGCTGGTGGGGGCAGGCAGCGGGGGTGGGGGGGGGGAGACAGAATGCTTCCAGCATCTGCGGTATGTCAGTTGGCTGGTGTTCTTAAGTCCTACTTTGGTCCAGTGAATGGCAGGGTTCTGGGCTGGGGGCAGCATGTGGAAGAAGGGCAAAGTGGGAGACAGTCCTGCCCTTGAGGAGGTGGCCCACCCAGCTGGAAGGTAAACAAGATGGGGGGGGCATTGGTGCAAGGCCGAGTAAGTTCCCCAAACCGCTCATCTCAGCAAGCAGAGTTCAGGGCCACCCACGGTGCCATGGAGTGTGGAGTGTGAGAGCCGGTGTGCCCACCCCACGAGGGCAAGTCACCTGGCTGCCCGTCACCCTTGTTCTAGGTGGAGTAGCCTCTGGGAACGCTACCCCCCAACCCATGCCAGCCTCATTGCCACCACCCCATTCCTTCACTTATGGGGTCTTCCGAGGGGATGGAGGTGCCAAGGACATGGGAGAAAACCACAGCCCGCGGCCAGTGTGCTGTTCCCTCTTACACACCCATCTGCTCAGACACTAGAGCCCCGCTGGAGGCGGCCTGGTTTCTCATCCTGCTCGGCCCTTTGTTCCTTATTTGCTGAGTGACAGCCTCCCCTCTGAGTCTCAGAAGTGGCTGGGCCTTTCTGCCTCTGATTCTGGGCTCACAGGTTAAGGGCGAGGGCAAGAGAGACACCACCCAGGGTGAAGGGGGGCAGGAGAGAGCTCAGGACAGTGAAGAGAAGTTTCAGGTCCTGAGTCCAGAGAGGGGCTGGCAGGTGCAGGGGAGGAGGCATGGGTTCCACGTGGCCAGCGGTCCTGTGACTGGGGAAATGGAGACTGGCCCTGGGAGGTGGCCCCGGCTCCCCTCGGGAGCCACTAGACCTCGCCTCTGCAGTGCCCGAGGCTCTGGGCAGCATGGGGCCTGGCAAATGTTAGGTGCTTACTAATTACTGAATGAATGCGTGGTCTGGAGGGGAGGAGCCAGTCCAGGACGTTGGTGGCTTTCCAAGGACAGATCTAAGTCTGGTGGCAGCTGTCCTGATGATGCAGGAGGTAGACCAAGTAGGCTGATGGGACTTCTCTCAAGATGTCCAGGCTGGAGGGGCATGGGGGGCCCTGAGGGAAACTGAGGAAGAAAGGAAGCTCTGAGGACCGGGTGTGGAACCCCTCCCCCCCACTCGCAGGTCAGCCTCATTCTCGGGCCGGGTTTCCTAGAAGGCAGTGCAGTGAGGGAGGGGGGAGGGTGGGGCAGGGCGATTGCTGAGCAAGGATGTGGAGTCAGCTGGAGGTTGGCCTCTGCCTGACACCCCGGGAGCCCTGGAGCCTCTTTGTCCCGTGTGTCAGTTGCTCACTGGCTGTGGGCTGTGTCCCACGGGGAGGGGTGGGCCCAGCCTGGAGTGTGGCCACGAGGAAGGGCAGCCCTGTGCCTCTGTGCTGGAGGAGTGATGTCCTGTCTGGTAAAGGGTGTCTGGGTGGGGCGCGCACTACAGGGTAAACCCCTCCCTCCTTTGCCCCCAAACACAGCACAGATGCAAGGACCCTTTGACAAGAAAGATGATGGTTGGAAAGGGAATTGGCTGTGAGCACCTGGAGGGACTGGAGAGACTCCAACCCGGGGCTGGGAGGAGGGGAGCGTACTAACGGCTATGCCTGGGCCCCCTGAGCGCCCCCACGCCCCTCTGCCGAAGGCGTGGTCAGCAGCCAATGTGCTGATGCTCCCCCTCTGGCTTTCTCTTGCAGACCCCTCTGCCATGAACCAGCCTGCCCCTGGGGCCCTGCCTCCACCCCGCCGTGTGCGGCTGAAGCCCTGGCTGGTGGCCCAGGTGAACAGTTGCCAGTATCCAGGGCTCCGCTGGGTCAATGGCGAAAGGAAATTGTTTTACATCCCTTGGCGCCACGCCACGAGGCACGGCCCCAGCCAGGATGGGGATAACACCATCTTTAAGGTAAAGCCCTGGACAGGGGCAGCGTGGGCTTCTGAGGCACCACCCCCAGGAGAGGGCCCCCCACTGTACCTCAAGCTGGCTGCTTACCCAGCTGCCTTGCTGCAGGTGACCCTGGGCCTGGACTATGGGGACACAGGTGTAACTATAGGAGATGCCTTTTGTGACCTGATCCCCACAGCAAGGTGGGGACTGGCAGGCTCCCCGGAGACCGCCCTGTAACTCCTCCTCCTCCGCTTGTCCTTGTCTCATTCTCATTACACATGAGCACACGTCAGTGTGCATGTTGGTGAATGCACACGCGAAAACAACAGACAACAGTGCAATTGGAACATCAAGGCAACTCTGACTATTTTTTGCATATCTTTTCAGGTTTCTGCACAAGTGCATATATGAAATGCAAACGTTGAATCAAACTATATATTGTTTTGTAACCTGCATTTTTCACCCAAAAATCAGGACTGGTTTTTCACTCCCACATGTGCCTCGTCACTCTCTGGCCGATGAAGACTCCATTGGAGGGTTTAGCACAGGGAAGCCCCGGTCCCGGTGGTTCGGGGTTGAGCACACCCAGCCCGCCAGGCGCATGCTCTGTGCTCACACCCACTGTGCTCGCACCCACTGTGCGTCTTCAGTGGTGGTCTTCAGGGTCAGCTCCTAGAGTTGCATGTTGCTGCGTCACAGAGAATGCTTATTTTTATTTTTCTTTATTTTAAAAGATGTTATTTACTTATTTTTAGAGAGAGGGGAAGGGAGGGAGAAAGCGAGGGAGAGAAACATCAATGTGTGGTTGCCCTTCACGTGTCCCCAGCCAGGGACCCAGGCATGTGCCCTGACTGGGAATTGAACTGGTGACCCTTTGGTTTGCAGCTGGCACTCAATCCCCCGAGCTACACCAGTCAGGGCTGAGAATGCTTGTTTTTAAAGCTTTTGGTATGTATTTCTTAGTCTTTGCACTTGATATTTACCTTTTCAAGATTTTTCTCAAAAACATTTCATGTTTTTGAATAGTATAAAAAAGTGTACAGTGTTTTACAGCAAAAAGTCTCCCTCCTACCCCTGTCCACAGCCACCCGCCCCCTCCCTAAAGGCAATTAGTAGTATCGGTTTCTTGTTTGTCCTTCCTAAAAGATTTTTGTGCATATATGAGGTCTAAAAGGTATCCTGCCATGTACTATGAAAAGTAGAGACATTTATTGAAGAAAATACAAGACACAAGAAACATGGTACACAGGACAATGATGCCTCAGTGCCCTTCAAAGTAGAAACCTTGGGACCTCACACAGGTCTCCCAATTGCCAATCAGTTACCCCATTATATTTTCCCGAATCTCATCAACAGTCTGAAATCTATTCCTTTTCAAAGGTGATTTTAGTTTTGGGAAAAGCCAGAAGTTGCAGGGCACCAAGTCTGGGCTGTAACGGGGCTGAGTCAACTAGGTAACTTGATGTTTTGCCCAAAAAACTCTGCATGAGACATGATGCATGAGCGAGCATGTTGTCCTGATGAAGCTGCCAATCACCAGTTGCCCACAGCTGCAGCCTCTGGATCATTCGAATCGTTTCCGTGGTGGAATGTTCAAGCTCAATGCAAAATGTGATGCAGATCCATTGCTCTACTCACTCTGTCATTTTGAATGTGACAGCCACACAGTGCACATGCTCACCGAATAGCATGTACCACCCCTGCTGACCAGTACGGTGAAGTTCTCATTGTTCACACATGCGCATTCCAGTCCACTCTCCCTGGCTGCCAGTTTACATCGATCTCATGCAAACTGTGCTTTTTATATTAACAGTGGCTGGACTTTTTCTGGACAGACCGCATACAAGCAAATATGTACTTATCTTTCCCCAACTTTTCACAACATGATAGACGTACATGTACACCAAACATGCATAGTCTCCTGCACCTCATGATCTTCACGATCGCCACGTCAGCATAGCAGAATCTTCCTCCTTGTCCCCTTGCTGCCCAGTATCCCAGTTGGGATGGGCCAAAACGTAACCAGACCCTCCTGATGGGCATTTAGATTATTTTGGGTCTTTTGCTTTTACAAACCGTGATGCAATGAATAATCTTGTATGTGCAGAATTTTTGTGTGGATGCTTCTGTACCTGTAAAATAAATTCCCTATAGTTGAATGGTTGGGTTAAAAGGTAGAAACATTTGTAATCAGCCAAATTGCTCTCCAAAATAATGACACTAACAATTCATGGGTATAGAGCCCCTCCTAAGTGCGGACACAGTTGGTGAGCAGAGTTTCATGAGCCCTCAGGTCTTCACCGCCACTGTAAGAAGGTGGGTACTGTGATGGGGAGACAAAGCAAAGAAAGATAGTGTGGCTCTTCCCACATCACACTGTCCTCCTTAGAGATTGTAGCTGTGTACCCTCCCGGGGCAGTGAATCAGTGCCTTTCAAAACACCTGGATTTCCTCCAGCTTGTTGGAGCCCCGAGGGCTGGGGAGGCCTGGCATCCTATCTCCCACCTTGCAGAGGGGCACTCAGCATGCCGCTGAAGGTCTCCCCGCACAGCCACAACGCCCACTGGTCGAGAGGGGCCAGGCTTTGTTGAGGGCTGAGGTCCTCTGATTGCCTGCCTTCTCTTCCCACCCCAGGCCTGGGCCAAGGAGACAGGGAAGTACATGGAGGGGGTGGATGAGGCCGATCCGGCCAAGTGGAAGGCCAACCTGCGTTGTGCCCTGAACAAGAGCCGTGACTTCCGCCTCATCTACGACGGGCCCCGGGACATGCCGCCTCAGCCCTACAAGATCTACGAGGTCTGCTCCAATGGCCCCACTCCCGCAGGTATGGTGCCGACCCTGTGCGGGCCACCCGGGGGGCTGTGGAGGAAAGCACGGGGCCCTCTTCGGTGCAGTGGTTGGGAGCACACTGCTGGGTCGTAACACCCGGGGCTTGCAGAGGTCGCCTGGGATGAGCCTCTGTGGGGCCAGGGCGGCTTTGGCATGGACCAGGGCCCCGGTGTGTTTTTCATAGCCAGCCCTTGTTTTGTCTCTTGGTGGCCCAGGGAGCTCAGTGTCATGGAGTCAGGGAGGTCCCGACTGATTCCTGATGGCTGTGTGCCCTTCACCTCACTGTTTGGGCAGCTCCGGAGCCACAGCAGGAGCTGCCCCATGCACGCCACGCCACCCCCCCCCCCCCCCCCCCGCCCCGTGGCCTTCCTCCTCCTCTCCCTCTGACTCCCTTCCTCTCTTTTCTCTCCCTCTACCTGCAGAGTCACAGCCTACTGAGGACTACATTTGTGGCACAGGGGAGGAGGAGGAGGAGGAGGAGGAGGAGGTGAGCAGGGGCGTTCTCCCAGCATCTGGCTGCCCTGCGGTGGTGGGCCTGGTGGGGGCGCTCTGCTGTCCTCCGGCCCCACCACGCCGCAGCCCCAGTCCTCGGGGTCCTGCTGCTCTTCCTGCAGCTCCACTCTGAGGTTCTTCTCTGGGATTCTGAGCATAGAAACAAGGTCACCACCTTGAAACCCCTGGGGCCTTGTGGGCACGGAACATTGCCTGACTGACCCTCACAGCAGTTGCTCAGTAGGTGCTTTACCTGTTCTTAGGTATTGCACCAGAAGGCAGATGTGGAAACTGAGGCCCTGAGGGATCACTGTCCTGCCTGGGGCAGCAGCGCTGGGGGCTGGAGGCAGGGTCTGGCCTCAGCTAAGCCGAAGCCCAGGGAATTGCCTTGTGGTTCTCGTGTTATTTCTTTAGCATCAGATACACTTAATAACCTGCCCTCCCTTCTCTTTGGCCTCTTCCCTCCTCTCCCTGTGTCTTCATTTCAGCTCCAGAGGATGTTACCAAGCCTGAGCCTCACAGGTGGGGCCGGGAGGTGGTGTGGTTGGGGGCCTAATATAAGGAGAAGCTGCAGGTACCCTAGGTACCTGGGTGGGGGGCGAAGGGGGGCTGGGGGCAGGCCCAGGGCTGGGACTAGGTTGGTCTGGCAGTTCCTAAGAGTGGCATTAGAGCTCTGTCCACCCCCACCCTCTGCAGAAGCGGTGCAGCCTGGGCCCCCCATGGCACCCTATTCTTTACCCAAAGAGGATGTCAAGTGGCCGCCCACTCTCCAGCCACCGGTGGCACTTGGCCCCCCTGCTCCAGACCCCTGCCTCCTGGGCTCTGCCCCTGGGGACCCTGCTGCCTTTGGGGAGCTTCTCCCTGAGGTTCTGCCGAGCCTGCAGCCTGGGCCCCTGGCTGGCAGCCTAGCCCCCCAAGGCGAGCAGCTCCTGCCCGACCTGCTGATCAGCCCCCACATGCTGCCCCGTAAGTAAGGAACCTCAGGCAGGAGGGCTGGGCCAGCTCAGGCAGGGCTGGGGGCTGGTTTGCCAGGAGGTCGGAGGGTGGCGAAGGACAAAGATGCCCATGCCAGTCCCTCCTGGGGGGGGGTGGCTTGTGCAAGTAAGTGGGAAAAACGACATGATGACCCAGACATGGGGCAGAGAGAGTTGTGGGCTGCAAAATGGGGAGGGGCTCACAGACCTGGCGGTCCTGTCCTCTGCCTCGCAGTTACCGACCTGGAGATCAAGTTCCAGTACCGGGGGCGGCCACCCCGTGCCCTCACCATCAGCAACCCTCACGGCTGCCGGCTCTTCTATAGTCAGCTGGAGGCCACCCAGGAGCAGGTGGAGCTCTTCGGGCCTGTGAGCCTGGAGCAGGTGCGTTTCCCCAGCCCCGAGGACATCCCCAGCGACAAGCAGCGCTTCTACACGAACCAGCTGCTGGACGTCCTGGACCGTGGGCTCATCCTCCAGCTACAAGGCCAGGATCTCTATGCCATCCGCCTGTGCCAGTGCAAGGTGTTCTGGAGTGGGCCCTGCGCCTCAGCTAACGGCTCGCACCCCAACCCCATCCAGCGGGAGGTCAAGACCAAGCTCTTCAGCCTGGAGCATTTTCTCAATGGTGAGGGCCCCACATTGTGTTTCTCCTGGCCCCCTCTTGCCCAGGCACACTGTTCTAGCCTCCGACTGATGGTCTTGTTCTCTCTGCAGAGCTCATCCTGTTCCAGAAGGGTCAGACCAACACCCCACCACCATTCGAAATCTTCTTCTGTTTTGGGGAGGAGTGGCCTGACCACAAACCCCGAGAGAAGAAGCTCATCACTGTACAGGTATGTCCCAACCCCCCCCCCCAACTCTGCTTTAGCTTAAATATCGGGGAATCCTGAGGTGAGCCCTTGCCCCCCAGTGGAGGCTCGGGGCTCTGGGCAGTTTGAACATGGCAGCCAGTGGTAAATCAAGGCCCAGGGCTTCCCACACGTAAGTAGCCTTATGAGCAGAAACTGGTGCCCCTGCCCCCTGATGGGTACAACCCACCACCTGCCCCCTGGTGGATGTCCTTGGGCACAGCTGGATTTGACAGCCCCATCAAGGTGCTCAGGGTTCTCTTTGCTCCCCAGGTGGTGCCCGTAGCTGCTCGATTGCTGCTGGAAATGTTCTCAGGGGAGCTTTCCTGGTCAGCCGATAGTATCCGGCTACAGATCTCAAACCCAGACCTCAAAGATCGCATGGTGGAGCAGTTCAAGGAGCTCCATCACATCTGGCAGTCCCAACAGCAGCTGCAGCCCATGGCCCAGGCCCCTCCTGCTGGCCAGGGGCCCTGGCCAATGCACCCAGTTGGCATGCAGTGAAGTTGCATATAGTGACTGAAGCAGGCTTCCTGAGAGGCTATGTGGACTGTTGTGAAGGGCCTGAGTTCCAGATTCTCCCTGCAGAAGCTGAGGGAGGCTGGGAGCCAGTTCTGCTTCCGGGCCTCTGACTTCTGGACATGGCTCTCTGCTAGCTCCGGTGTGCTGGCTCTGAAGGAATTCAGCCATCAACACCAGTGAGCAGGCAGGGCTTCCCGTGATGCCAGGGCCTAAATGTACAGAGGAAGTGGCCCCAGAGTGCCCCAGTTTCCTCTGGCAGAAAGCCTAGAGTTCTGTGGCAGGTTCCCCTGGTGGGGCCTCTGCAGGTCCTGGGCCTGATTTGGGGGGTTCCCTAGTTTGAGCCTCACTTCCTCATCTTTCTCCTTTCTGAGACAGATTTGAGCACTTAGGTATTGCACCAAATACTTAAGGCTGGCAGCTACCTCCTTTCTTGTGAGTCCAAGAGCTTGGGGTAGAAAATGGAATTTTATGTATTTTTGGATTAATAAATGTTAAAGACACACTCAGCTGTTTACTTTTTCTAGCACTTGCTTCCATGCTGTTCTAGAAGACCCTCTTTCTGATGCCAGCTGGCCCTCTGTCCCCCAGGACCTGCCCTCTAGTGCTGGGGCCCCTGGCACAGGACCTGCCTTCCAGGCCGGTGAGTCAGCGAGCCTTCATAAACACGCCCCGGGCTGGCCGCTGTCCAGGAGGAAGCTGGCTGAAGCAAGGGTGTGGATTTTTAAATGGGTGCAGAATCTAAAATCTTGTCCAAATCAATTTTCCCATAAGAAATGGGGGAAAAGGGCTGGCATTTCAACTACATGTAGGGCCGTGCCAGTGTCATCCTCGTGTATAAATCATATGCTATTAATCTAGTAGGACAATGCATGCAAACTGGTAGTTCTTATTTGAATATGGCTCATAGATGTACTTTTCTGGCCTAAACAGTTGTGTTGTTGTTCATCTTTTTGTTATGGAAGATTTCACAGATTTGCCAAAGTAGAGACTGGTATGATACCCTCAAGTAGTAGCTTCAACAATTTCAATTTATGTTGTCTCTCTCACCCAAACTCCCATCCATACCTCCAACTGGAGATTTTGAGGCAAATTCTCCATGTAAATTTTCGTGTATAAATAGTCAGAATATATCTCTAAAGGACAATATATTCTCTAAAGAATATATAAGTATATATTCTTTTTTAAAAAGACAGTATCACTTGACCTAATGTGACAAATTTTTATTGAATACCTATGGTTTAAAACATAAGATGTTAAGAGAAATTTCATTCCTTTGCAGTCTACTTGTGAAAGAAACCGCATTGCTCGTCCTGCGTCCTGCCCTTGCCCGGATGCTGCCCGCCGCGCCTCTGTGGTGTTGGCCTGCCCGGTCGCTCACATCCCCCGCAAACCGGTGCTCTGACCCGGACTCCGGATTTGGGAGGCTCAGCTGTATGCAGGTTTCTGTTCTGACCGAATACCAGTGGGCCTTTGAGCTGTTCCCATCTTTAGTTACTGTACGTCATGCTACAGGGAATAGGCTTGTACATATTTAGGTCTTTTCGGAGTTTTGTCAGTGTACCTTTGGGATGAAGTCCCGGAAATGGAATTTCTGGGCCAAAGCATAAATACGTGCGTAACTGTGCCAGGTATTGGCAGAATCCTGCCAAACCTATCAGGTCCTGTCTTCCCGGTCTCACCAGCGGATGCATTAACTTTTTGGGTTTTGCCGACCTGATGAGGGAGAGAATCTCAGGGCCACTCCTCGTCAGGAGTGAGGCTGGACGTCTTCAGAGTTATGGGGCCTGTGCAGATTTTTATTATAATTTTAAAAGTTTTAGACTTAGACTTATAGAAAAGTTGCTAATAGAGTTCCTATACACCTTACACCCAGTGTTCCCAAGTGTTAATACCTAACATTACTAGGGGATATTTATCACAACTAATGAAATATGAATACACTATTAACTCCATTCTCTGTTCAGATTTAATTCATTTTTATCTAGTTCTCTTCCATGATCCCAACCAAATTATATTTAACATTTATTCATCTTTGTTAGCCTCCACTGATCTGACAGTTTCTCAGACTTTCCTTGTTTTTCAGAGTATATTTTACTCATATTTTATCCTCACATGTGGACCTTTTCATTGCTATTTTTATTTATTTAATTTTATTTTTAAAAAGATTTTATTTATTTATCTTTAGAGGGGAAGGAGAGGGAGAGAAACATCAATGTATGATTGCCTCTAGTGCATCCCCTGCAGGGAACTGACCTGCAGGGAACCTGCCTGCAACCCAGGCATGTGCCGACTGGGAATCAAACCACGATCCCCTGGTTTGCACAGGCCCGTGCTCAATCCACTGAGCTACACCAGCCAGGGCTCATTGCTATTTTTAAATAAAGATTTCATTTATTTATCTAGAGAGGGGAAGGGATGAAGAAACAGAAAAAGAAAGAGAGGGAGAAACAGTGATTAGTTGTGAAACCTGGTCCACAACCCAGATACGTGCTCTGACTGGGAATCTAACCTACAACCTTTCATTTATAGGAAAATGCTCCAACCAACTGGGCCACACTGGCCTGAGCTTGAGGGTATATTTTAGAATGTCTCTCGCTTGGGTCTATCTGATGTGTTTACCATGGTTTTTGTAAGAAAGACCAAAGAGGTGAAGTATTTTCTCACCATATCATATTGAAGGTACATACTATCACCATGATTTAATTACTGTTGATGTTGACCTTGATCACCTGGCTAAGGCTGCCTCTGTCAGACTTCTCCATTATAAAGTGACTTCCCTTACCCCCTGTCCATACTGCACACATGCACAGAGGTTTCAGAACTGTTAACCCAAGCCCTTTTAAGAAACCTGACCGACTAGATCGAGCACAGTGCTTACTTACACACAGTTCCTCCCATCTTCAGTCTTAGTTTTCAGCCGTTTACCATGGTTAGCATCTTCCTCCCCATGGGCCTGTGCAGCTCTATTTCCTCTTCAGATTGAAATTCGTTGTCAACACTTTAAAATTAAAGATGTCACTTATCTGATTTCCAGCTTCTTTCAGAAAGTTGGCAAAGTCAGAAACATCGTCTCTCGTTTCCCAGTGCCAAGAATCAGCTGGAACTTTAGATGGGAATGGCCCCCACCAATAGCACAGCCTCTCTCTCCTTTCACTGCTTTGTCCTTGAAGGCTTTTGGGTCTGCAACCCTCAATAAATGGTGGGACAGGGAGACTGCAAACAGATGAATTATGGAAGCTTGGAAGGAAAATCTGCACTAGGTGACTATTCATACACAGATTTCTCCCATACTGCAGGCAGCTCTTGGTAGCCAAAAATCTTCATTGGGCTTCTGCTTTTTGACTTCTTAAAAAACAAACACAGAGAGAGCACACCTGGCTATCATTTTCAAAAAGAACTTATTTATTTTTAGGAGGGGAAGGGAAAGAGAGACGGAGAAAAACATTCGTGTACAAGAGAGACACTGACCAGTTGCCTCTGGCATGCCCCCAACTGGGGACCTGGCCTGCAACCCAAGCACGTACCCTGACTAGGAATTGAACCGGTACCAAATTTTGGTTCGCAGGCTGGCAATCTACTGAGCCACACCGGCCAAAGATGTCATTTCATACAGATCTGAGTTGTAGTAGCTAGTTGTAGATGAACACTACCCAAAAGAGGGAACATAACCCATTCCAGAGGCAAAAGGCAGGACAATGCGTGTTGGAATTCACCGCCCCCTGGCTATGCTAGAATCCCACCTGGTAGTGGCCTTTGACTGTGCTGGTGTTGAAGCTGGAATCCACACAACACTGATGCTCACAGCCCTGGGGGTGAACACTCAGTGTTTCCCTCACTTCCTCCCAGCCCTCCCTCACAGAGTTCATCCTGTATCCAAGTAAACATTCCCTTTTAACTCCAGACTACTTCCTCTAGCACAGTTTTCACTGGAGTAAAGAACCGTGCAGTATTCAGAGTAATTGAGATGATATTGACAGCTTTTCCCATTTGTGTCACAGGATTTTCTCAGAAGCAACTTTTCTCATTTGTTGAAAATGTATCTAAAGAAAAATTAGGCACACCCTGTTGCATAATCTTGGATTTTTAACTTCTCTAGATTTTGACTTTTTTGTAAAATGATTCAGTCAAACCAGGGCCACACAAGGTCGTGTATGATGCATTCATAAGGTGCCGGTGCCATTCGAAAGCTCATGCTCCTTTATGTCTTAATTTACCCTACATTCTCAGTTACTGAACTTTATAGAACAGGTACAAAAGCCTTACAAATTACTTTTCTTCAGTAAAATCTTGTGGAGACTAGCCCCAATGGGTAATCTGCATTTCACATAATCATGACTAAAATTTCTTGGCTACGGCAATCATGGAGGTAGGGGAAAAAAATCTGTGGGTGCTTTGTGGCTTAGCAGTTCAGGTGCAAGGCTCTTGTTCTTATTCCAGCAGACAAGGGGACACGGGAACACAGTATGCACATTAGGGTACATGATCACGAACAGGTCATTTAAAAAATTAATGAATCTTCACTTGAGAATAATTTTTTCATTGCTTTTAGAGAGGGGGGTAGAGAGGGAGAGGGGAAGAGAGAGAGGGAGGGAGGGAGGAAGGGAGACAGAGAAAGATAAACATCAATGTGAGAGCAAAACATTGACTGGTTGCTTACTGGATGAGCCCCATCCAGGGATTCGACCCACAACCTAGGCACATGCCCTGATAAGGAACGAATGGGTAACCTTTCAGTTTATGGGATGACACTCCAACCAACTGAGCCACACTGGCCAGGGCCAAACAGTCCCTTTTTAAATTAAAGTGGGTATGTATCCTTGCGCCGCCAGAAAGAAGTAACTGTTTTTAAGAACTAGTGTGAAACACTCTGTAAGAGAGCGTGCGCAGTGAGGCCCTGACCCCATGAACAGGACCAGGTTCTGGGTTTCAAAGCAAGGGCTGCGGAGATGCCATCACGTTACACTGGGACAGGCACACCACACACGGGTTTCCAGTGGCCGGAGAGAGTTGGACTAAGGGACTGAAAGAACCTCTACATTTCTTTCAGGCCCTGATACAACATGGTCATAAAAGCCAAATTCCTTAAACAAAAAAGTCAACCAGCTGCTGCAAGGACTAGGCTTCAAAGTTGTACTGTTTACCCAAAAAATGAGAGGAATATCTGGGGTATTGTGTTGATCCCCAGTAACTGATCATCTCATTCCAAACACTGTTTCGCAGTTAAGTTTTTCCCTCCCTTCCAATAATTCCTATTTACAGAATAAAACTAAGTCCCACTGATGTCATGCAAAAAACTTTGTTTCGCTGATTTCAAATATTAAATGCAGCTCTGCAGTCAAGATTATTAGCTCAAAGCCCCATTACTGTATCACACTGTATGATCACATTTATATAAAAGTCAAGAAAAAGCAAACTAATCTACAATGACAGAAAGCAGATCAGAGGCTACCTGGGTATGTGGGAGGGTGGGGAGATGCAGGGGAAAACCGGGGGTAAAGAACA